CTCTAGTGTTAGTTTTATCTGCAATGTATTTGAAGAAGCCCTTTCTGTTGTCCTTGACCTTTCTTGCAAGGTTTAATTCCAAGGAGGTCTTAGCTTTCCTAGTTGTCTCTCTGTATCCTCTGACAGCAGACCTATATTCCTCCCAAGTGGCCTGCCCCTCCTTCCATGATCTGGACACTCTCTTTTTCCATTTGAGTTTGCCCAACAGTTCCCCGTTTAACCATGCAGGTCTCTTGGTGCCCTTTCTTGACTTCCTACCTGTTGGGATGCACCGGTGTTGAGCTCAGAAGAAGAGATCCTTGAAGGCTAACCAACTATCTTGGGCCCTTTTACCTTCCAGTACTCTGTCCCATGAGATTTCTCCTAGCAATGTTTGAAAAGATCAAAGTTGGCCCTACTGAAGCCCAGGGTTCTAGTTCTGGTAGGTATTCTCTTCCTGCCACATGAGATCCTGAACTCCACCATTTCATGGTCACTACAACCAAGGCTACCCTCGACCTTCAGCACTTCAACCAGACCCTCCTTATTAGTGAGAACAAGATCCAGCAGCGCTCCTCTCCTAGTAGGCTCATCCACCATTTGCATCAGGAAGTTATCATCAATGCACTGAAGGAACCTCCTGGGCTGTGGATGGCTGGCTGAGTAGGCCTTCCAGCAGATATCAGGATAGTTGAAGTCCCCCATGACAACCAGGGCCTGCATTTGCGAGACCGCTGTCAGCTGCCTGTAGAAGGCCTCATCAGTCTCCTCATCCTGATCCGGTGGTCTGTCATAGACACCAATAACAGTATCACACATGCCAGATTGTCCTTTAATTCGCACCCACAAGCTCTCAACTTGCTCCTGATCCACCTCTGGACAGAAATCAATGCACCCCAGTTGCTCCCTTGTGTAAAGAGCAATACCCAGTTGCTTCCCACCAGTGGGAGCTGCAGTCATCCAGCACCTTCTGTGCCCAGCACAGCTGCTCTAGAACCCTGCGTGAACTGCGCAAAGTTCAAGCCACAGGTTGGTCAGTACAGACCTAGTTTTGGCTCAGGTTTTTCAAACCCTGGAGTTTTACAGGCAGAATGAAGCTGCTACACAAAAAAATGAAATATGAAACAAGTAATTTTGAGTTTCAGAGGAGTAAGGTGGGAAACATGAAAACTGCATCCCTTTTTTTTTTTTTTTAAAAAAACCTAAGTAATGTATCTCCATGCAATTTTATAGCATTTAATTTTTGTTCATGTATCTACTTTCAGGAATTTGTCAATGTCTCACTGAATTCTGCAGAGAAAACAGGATCATGTAATCTCACAGATCTGTGGGACTCCACAGAATATTCAGTTGCCATTCGATGTATCAGTGTTCTGTCAATATTCTGGAGTGAATGGAGTAGAGGGAAAACAGCAAGCACAGAAGAGAAAGGTAGGCTAACCATTTAGTAAGATTTTCTTTGGTTATGTTTTGGGGCTTTAGGATTTAATAATGGAAAACTGTATTTTCAGCATATTATCAGTGTATTGAATTTAGAATTCTATTGTTTAAACAGAACATGTGTATTTTGTTTAAATATAGAAAAGGGAAAACTGAAAGGCAAGAACAAGGAGTGGAGGAGATTTTGAAAGGTGACACAAACAACATAGGGCTAAGGAAGAAAATGGGTGAAAAGACAGACAGTGAAGAGAGGAAAAATTAAGAGTGTAGATGGAGACTGAACATTGCTAAGTAGGATAGTAGCAGAAATGTAGTGTAGCAGGTATGTCCAATAAAATGAACTATAAGTAGAGAAATTGTCAATTATAAAACAGGACTAGAAAATCTCCTCTAGAACTTAAAAAATAAAAGAAAGCAGAAGGAAACTTATGGAAGGAGAGAAGCTGTACTAATGAGGGAAAAAAGGCACATTACACAAGGGAAAACTTTTTAATAAGTTGCTCTCAGACTGCATTTTGGAAACCTTTTGATTGTTTTTACCATATTACACTATCTTTTTAATACAGCAACAAATTTAAAGATATTTTTGTATCTTTAAATAGCTCCTTCAGAAAAAGTGGATTTCTGGAGGGTAATTGAGTCTTCACACTCAGCTGGAAGTAGATCTGTGCATCTTATGTGGAAGGTATATACTCTTTTTGTGAATTGATAATCATATTGATATCCTCCAGCTGATGTTGCATGGAATATTTTAGTGTTGTAGGACATATAACTGCCAGGGGGTTTTGCTGTCATTAGAAGAAAACCTTGCCGAGCTAAAGCAGAATTGAAAAGATTTTTGTTTACTGAAAGTTAGATGAATAGAGTTTTGTAATCTGTGCAGAAAGGAAGAGTTTAATTGTGTTCAGGTCGCTGGAAAATCTGATTGAAAGTGCTTGCAATTACTTTTAAATAACACAACTTACCAAAGCTGTGTTTAAATTCACTTTAATATTCTAGTAGAGTGATCAAAGGGTCTTTGCGTTTCAAATCTCAGTGTTTGACTTTTGAACCTTTCCTTCAATGAAGTTGTTGCAGCTGACTGTCCTGAAGATAGGAGTAAAGAAAGTACCTTGCTTTTCTAAATGTAGTGTAACTCTGGTTGTCCAGAGAAGTTGTAGATGCCCCATCCCTGGAAGTGTTCAAGGCCACGTTGGGTGAGGCTTTGGGCAACCTGGTGTAGTGGAGGATTTCTCTGCCGATGGCAGGGGGCTTGGAACTAGATGATCTTTGAGGTCTATGATTCTGTGATTCTATTATAATTTTGTAATTTTGTCTGCACTCTTTAATACATTATATGCTTTTGATTATACAAATAACACTGTGAAACACTTACTACTGCATATTTTTTTAATAGCCATTAAACAGCTTTCCACCTTCTGGGAGAATTCTAGGCTACAAAATACAGTATTTTCCAGAAAACAGTGCTGCACTTAAAATTACAAACATCTCTAATGATACGAAAACTATTTTATTTTTAAACGAAGAGGCGTATATAATATCTATTACTGCCTATAACTCTGCTGGAAATTCTCCTGAAGCTATTCTGAGGATTCCATCCACTGAAGAAAAAAGTAAGATTTATCAATATCATGATATATTTTTCTCATTAACAAAAAAAATGATCTTCCTGACATCTGTGTAAGTTCTGTTATAGTGGAAGCAAAATTGTGCTAAGGTCTTTTGTCACAGATCTGTATATATAGAACTGTATTATGTACAAAGCTGTGTAGTCCATTACCTTTTACTAATATCATAATATCACCTGGTTGTTGTAGTTTCCTATCACATGTATTTTTTTGTTGTTGTAGACAATTATTGTTGGGGTTTTTCTTTCGACATATAGTTGTTGAGATATCAGCACTTTCTGATGTCTTATTAGAATTTCTGTTTTATTGCTTTCTGAGGATTTTTTGGTTTTGTTTTTTTAACCTTGGATCTCCCAAATAAATTATAGAGTCCCACCCAATTGTGTCTCATCCCTTTACTAGGTCGTAAAATTGGTTACCACAGGGCAATTATCACAGTGCATTTAACAACATCATTCAAAGATGTGTTTAATAGGAATCCCTAAAATACGTGAGCAGAAGCAGACAGAGAAACATTTATTCTCATTTCATACGCATTCTGAAAGTATCTCATCTCATCCACTGCCAGGGTCAGGAAGCTGGTCTGCTCTAGCACAACAGTTCTGTTCTTTGGTCCTTACATTTAATTCTGATAGTTCTGTGAGCCTTGAATTGCAACATCTTGCTGCCTATCCGTGATCCAGAAGAGAGATTACATTTGACGCACTTGAATCACTTCTCTTACATCAGTTGTTTGTGAAATAAGTGCAAGTGTCCCCCTGGAATTGCTCAATCAAATTCCAGTCTAATCAGAAAACTGGATGTGTAGACGTGATGTCATTTTGTCCTGGAGGTTGCTGACTACCTCTGTATCCAATTCTGTATCCCACAATAAATGTTCTTCTGATTTTTCCATGGTATGACATGCTTTTTTTTCCCCCCTACATACATCTTTTTTCCCTGTGCTTCACCAGGTCTTTTTATGTTTTGCTTTGCCAGGTTGGGTTTTTGCTCAGACTTTGGTTACCTGTTCTGCAGGTTGATGGTTCACTTTTGCTTCACTGTCATTCATGACCTTGCTGACTTGATTTACTATTTTCCTATTGCCTTTATCATCTCAATCAAAACTTGCTTATCTGCACTACCTGTAAAATTGGTAGGAAATTGTTTTGTAAAATTTTACAAAATATAAAATTTAGATCCTAAAAGAGAGATTGATCTTTGATTCCATATGTGTAAATCTCCTTGAGTATCATCTCCTCAGTCCCTCTCCCTCCCCTTTTCATTGTGGCAATTCTTATATGCTTCATTTTGAAGTATTTTGAGTACATGCATGTGAACATAGGTATAAAGTAATGGTTTAAACTTTTTTTTTTTAACTTGAAGTCCCATACCCTTCTAAAGAAGCCATCTAAGCTTTTAATAATTTAATTATTTTTCTTGCTGCAGTTTTTATGAAGATAGAATTGCTGACATTTTCTGTTAAATTTTTAGCTCCTCAGATTATTGAAACAGTGAGGACGTTTACAACAAATGAAGAAGTGATTGTGGAATGGACAGCCTCTGAACCAGAAGTAACCGAATATGTAGTGGAGTGGTATGAGGAATTGGAGACAGATCCTTTTGGTAGATCGTGGCAATATGTATCAAATTCTACAAACTGGAAAATTAACAAAAGTATGTTCATTTATCAGATACAGCTGTTACAATGTACATATATATGTATTTATGCATATTTATTGATAGGTAGATTGGAAAGAGCAAACAAGGATGAACTCATCCAGCTTTCCTCAGACCATTAAAAAAAATAATATTGTTACATGCGTTATTGAAGTCTTTGCATGTAATTTAACAGCAATTTTAACTCTCCGAAATTTTCACACAACATGCAAGATGGTGTTTGCTCCCATTTAATTATAGGTTACAGATTTCATGTTTAAGCACTTCTGTGGCTTGATCTTATGCCATGAATCTTCCAGTAGGGAGGCCTATGACAGATGTACACTATTTTAGTAGAGAAATACAGAACCAAAAAAATGAATCTGAAGATCCGAAAAGATCATGTGCCTTCTTGTGTGTTAGAGAGAGCGCAAGAAACCTGAAAGAGAATTTGAGGGAGAATTCTACTTTAAAATAAGCAAGTGGAGTGGTTGGTCAATCTGGCGTGTTAGGTGTCACATAATCATGTTTGTATTATGACCTAAGGCATTTCTAAGAGTTTTCAGTGGCCTTATGATGCACTGACAAATACGTGAGGATCTGCTCACTTTTTTAGTTTAGAGGCTGACTTTCTTTAGCAGATAATATCTCTAAGTAGTAATGTTTTGCTATGTGTATGTAGTTTCAGTGAAAAACAAAACAAAGTTCAGAGTTCAAGAAATACATGCAGAGGCAAAACCATGAATGTTGATGTCGACGTGAATATCCCATGCACATTACCTTTGGCTAAGGAAATGCATCTGCTTTTCTTTTTATATGCATTTGGATTTATTTTTTTTTTTACAATCACAGGAATAATGGTGAAAATGTTTAATATATATAATATATGTGATAAGTGAATTTTGGATTATTAGTTCTTTGGTTCTCCGTTATGAAATTAAATATATCAGATTTGAAAGTGGTTCCTGCTCATATGAAGATCTTTCTGAATCCTACCTCAAAGAAAAAGAATTTCCAAAGTTTTCAAAAAACAAGTACCCTGCATTTTCTAAAGCGAAAAGGAACACTCAGTTCGTTAATGATGAATATAGCTAGCTTGCCCATGAAATTGGTCTTACAGACTCAGACAACAGTGATTTAAATACCGTTTCTGTGCTACAGTAAAACAAATTGAACGAAAATCTGCTTAAAGTAAAATTCAAGAGCAGTTTATTACACATTGAACTGGGATGGGTGAGTCTTGAGTCTTATGCTGAAAATTACACTATTTCAGCAATTTACTATGAGGAATAAATGCTGTTTATAGCTGTTCTCAATATTTTAAAAAACCAGCTTTCCTCCCCAGCGTTATTAGGAGATCTTTGTTTACCCTAAGCACAAGTCACAGTAGAAATATTGAGGCAAGTTCAGACTTACTGTTTTTCAGGCCTGATTCTGGCATTCTTATGTGGAATTATTTTAAGGACAACATGTGGGCCATCATAACTTCTGCTGGTTGCAATAGATGTAAGGCACTGGAAAGCAGCAGAGAGCTGATATAGTACAGGCATATGTCAAAAGCCATTATTCTTGCTGAACAAGCTGCAGTGTTTGAGGAGGAATGGTCTAGGAAACCCTTTACACTGGTTTCATCCCATGGGGTATGAAGCCATAGATGTGTCCTTTTGGAGTTGATGAGAGTTGCATGCAGGTAGAGGGTGCACCCTGTTGATTACTTATCTGCTGTATTGTTCAGAGTTCAAAACTTCATTTTGAGAAGCTTGAACTATGTCTTGAAAAACATAAAATTCTACCACAGAGATTTCACTTGTACAAGTGTACTTTTGGGTCAAGCTGGTTAGAAGCAAATCTGCAGTTGGCATAACTGGATCATCAGCGCAGAGTTAAGAGCTGGAGCTCCATCGTGCCTTTTAAGCTTTTGACACATGAGACAGAACTCTCTTCTGCAGAGCAATAAACCTAAAGATATATGAAATTAAAAATATTCCTGGAAGTATCATTTTGTACTGGTTATTTGAAAATAAAAATTTCCTCCAAAACCGTAAACTGTTACGAGATGAGTAAGTGTCTTCGTATAGAGAAGCTGTATAAGGCTGAAGTATAATTACTCATTCAAAGTATTTCTAGTGAAAAATGAATCAGAAACCAAGTGCTTTTAGGAATACTACTAAATAAAATTCATTGCGTTAAGGGCACTAATGAGGATTCAAGGCAAGAAATATACATTGTGCTTGCTAAGAAGTTGAAGAAAACAGAGGTCTGTAATAGTATATTTAGAACTGCACTGTGATTTATTGTCCTTTCATTGTATTCATCCCGCATAGAGAATTGTATGTAAATATTCCCTTTCTTTCCTTTACAGAAAACTTTAAACCATTTATATGCTATAACATCTCGGTATATCCTCTCTATGGAAATAAAGTAGCAGCTCCATATTCTGTACAAACTTACGTTCAAGAAAAAAGTATGTATTTTAAACGAATAATGTTGTGAAGGGTGTGTTGTATTCTGTCTCTCAGGGTGTTTTACCTTTGAGCAATTTGGTACGGGCGTTACTGAATGAGAGATGTAGACGCTGAAAAAACCCAGGATTTGGGCTTCCTGATTTCTGTTCATAGATCAGCTGTTGAATTTTCAGTAGAGAAAATTTGTATCTTGTGATACAGGTACATTGCAGCTTAAATCCACTCTTGTTGTAAAGTTTACATACTAAACACTTGGAAAGAGTAGAGCTACAAACATGAAATATTTTTTTAAACTGGCTATCTCTTAAAAGTTACAAGTCAAATATATAATTAGACTTGGTTTTAATACTTAACTGCATTTATCAGACTTAATATATGAGGAAATTCTACTCAGAGGAAAATGGATGGTTTGAAAAAGCTTGCTTTTTGTTAAATTGTATAATGTAACAAAATATTTGTAGTCCTGCACATAAAAAAATGGTAAGAAGCCGTGAAGTTTGCGATTGCATAGAAGCTGTGGATGAAACAGTGTTTTGGTGGGGGGGAGGAGGAAGGTTTCCTTATTTGTAGAAGTTTAGTGAATTCAGTGTTTTTTACAGCCAGCTGTAAGAATGTAGTTTACTGGTAATTTTAAGATTTCAGGCAAAAATGTCAGTTTGTGTGTGTGCATATGTAGGTCTATGTAAGTGTTCACGCACACATAGTACAATGCTCTACTAAACAGCATGAATTACTAGGAGGAGGTAATGGAGTGTTGTATGTTTGAGTAATACTTAGTAGCACAATTAGAACTTTGTTTCAAGTGCTTTCCTCTTTGCAGGCAGCTGTGACAGTACTAAAGGTTGTCAGAGAATGGGAAGATAATTATTTTAAAAGTGAAGTGCAGAGAGCTCTTGCTTCGAAGTTCTGAGCAATGCATGTGAGATCATATTGTATAAGCAGAAAGACTTTGTCTAATGTAGTGGGCAAAAGCTGGGGGTGCTGGAGACCCCAGTTGAATCTCAGCTCAGCCAGAGATGTCCTGCATACACAGTGACCTTGCACCTGGGCTCCCCCATGAGTGCATAAGGACGTTTTACCCCTTGATCCCTCTCTGATATTGTGAGGATAGAGCCTTTAAATGATCTTGAGGTGTTTGGATGCAGTAACACTGAGAACTATTCAAACGCCAGAACACATGAGGGCAAGTATTATTAGAAGAAATCACATATTAGTGAGGGTGAGAAAAGTTGAGAGCTGTATCAGAGCTCTAAGATGAAGTACTTGTCCGTTTGTTGCCCCTAACGTTACCGGTATGTGTGAAGTAACACAGATGGATAACATTGCGGTACTTAGACTGTTTTACTACTTTTTCTAATTTATAATGCTTCTGTGTAGAGCCATCAGAAGGACCTGTGGCTGACACAGGCATTCCAGGGAAGTACGAAGTTACAATAAAATGGAATGAGATTTCAAAGGATAAAAGAAATGGATTTATCAGTAACTATACAATATTTTACAAACCTGAAGATGGAAAAGAATTGAGTAAGTATACATTAAACATCAACGCTTTCAACAATGTTATGACAATCTGCTGTCTGAAGATAATTATTTTCATAGTTATTAGCACACTGTTATTTTATGTTATAAATATGTCTGCAAATACTGATACTAAAATGTGACTTACAATAAAGATTAAAAAATTTTTTAGATTTAATTGAAGTGATGAAGTATTCTAGTGAATTGTCCCTGCTTTAATACTACACATGTATTCTTGCTCAGTTTCTTTGTTGTAAACTTACTTTGTACAGCACTGCTTTCACTCAATTAGTCTTTTTTACTATTAGTATTGTATTACCCATGGTAGTACAGACATGACTGTTGACCACATCACCCTTTCTGCTTCAGATGGAAATCTGATGGATGTCCAGGTGATAAATTTAGTCAGTGTATGGCAGCACTATCGTTCCTCTTCCTTTTCCAGACCAGGATGGAAACTCAGATATGAGAGGCTTTTTGCAGATTGTTCTCCATTAACAGTAAAATTTCAAATTTGCAGGATTATGCCAAATGAGAGAGAATTATTTGTTAGATACTCACTGTTTTCCCCTTTTACATATGTACTGGTTTCCCTTCCCATCGTGACTCACCTCTGAAGCCAATGGAAAAAGTCATGACAGAAGTAGAGGAGCTAAAGTGGAGCTAAAATATATAGGAGAGTCATAGATCCTGTGCTGTGCTGATTCATGAATTTGAACCTCATTGAGGGTTCAGTGAATTTATAAGTTCCATGCATATCCTTGAAAGGATGCTTTTCCCAAGCCCTAAGCTTCTAGAACAGTACAGTGGTCCATGCATATCTTTGAAAGGATGCCTGTCCTAAGCTCTAAGCTTCTGGAACAGTATGGTGGAAGTTTTCTGGTAAAGATGTTTTTACAGTCAGTTTCATAATAAAAGCAAAATAGTGAATCATAGAATCATAGAATGGTTTGGATTGGAAGGGGCCTTCAAGATCATCTAGTTCCAAACCCCTTGCCATGGGCAGGGATACTTTCCACTAGATTAGGTTGCTCAAAGCCTCATCCAACCTGGCTTGAACACTTCCAGGGATGAGGCATCCACAACTTCTCTGGGTAACCTGTTCTAGTGCCTTGCCACCCTCAGAGTGAAAAATTTCTTCCTTATATCTAATCTGAATCCACCCTTTTCAGTTTAAAGCCATTGCCCTTTGTCCTGTCACTACATGCCCTTGTAAAAAGTCCCTCTCCAGCTTTCCTGTAGGCCCCCTTTAAGTACTGGAAGGCTGCGATAAGATCACCCTGGAGCCATCTCTTCTCCAGGCTGAACAGCCCCAACTCTCTCAGCCTGTCTTTGTAGGAGAGGTGCTCCAGCCCTCGGATCATCTTCATGGCCCTCCTCTGGATTTGCTCCAACAGGATCATGTCTTTCCTGTGCTGAGGGCTCCATAGCTGGACTCCAGGTGGGGTCTCAGGCGAGCAGAGTAGAGAAGGAGAATCATGCCCCAACGATAGCCAAGAAGCTAAAATAAGCTGCCAGGAAATAGTTTATTTGGACATAGTTTTTAGATGAATTGCTTCAAATGTGCTTAATTTTCTGTGCTCGATATTGCTTTTCTGCTCTGGTAAGTGATAGCATAACTTTTCTAAGCATTTTCTTCATCTCCTGCCTCAGGAGTAGTGTCCATACAAGATGTCAATATAATCCTATCTGTTCAGAACTTCTCTAGCCTAAATCTCGGCAGAATCTTTTATGAGAAATGTTTCAGTGACCTAAATTTGTTCTTCCTGTATAGTCTGTGGAGAATGCTGTTGAATCATTCGGTGCTTCGGAAATGGTCATTTTTCCTCCTTTGTTTTAGACATCTCTGTTAGCAGACACCTAACATAATCGTTTTTTACAAAGATCTCAAACTTGCGAATCTTGTGATGTCTTCAGTTGCTCTTGGATATCCGTTTGGGCTAGGGCAAGAGTATTCTGGGTAATTTTTAAATTAGAAAGAGAAAACTGATTATTTCTATCAGATTCAGTCCTCTACATGCAGTTTTTCCTGCCATGTTGGTTTCTAAGTAATTTAATGCTGACCTCTGTGTGCGAGGTCATCCTCAAGATATGCAGCCTCATGTTAAGGAGCCGTATTTTTCCATATTACTTGTTATGTAAAGCTGACTGTGCCCATTTTGGGGGTTCAGATTAGTTCCTTTAGGAAATTACTTTTAAATAGCAACTCAAGGGAGTTAAATTTAAATGGCAAAACTCTACTTCTTCAGAGGCTTCTCTGATGTCACATTTTGGATAAGAATAGAACAGGGAGTTTGTGCCTAGGTGAATTCACTTATGGCCTTGTATCTCCAGAACATGACTTTTCTCTCCTTGATTTAAGAGAAACTCAGTTTGTTTAATCTCAGACCATATTGCATCATATCTGTTTCCTGAGTGCTTCTTGACTGAACTGAATGATGACAAGAGTTGGCTTTGACTTTATGCACCAAAAAACGTTTTAGTGACTTTAATTTCATAATTAAATAATTCTACTTCACCAGCAGAGATAAAAGAAGTCATTATCCCACTCTTACCAGTGCTTGTTAGGCCACACCTGGAATACTGTGTTCAGTTTTGGTTCCTGTTATACAAAAAAAGATGTGGACAGGCTGGAGAGGTTCCAGAGAAGGGCCACAAAGATTACCAAAGGACTGGGAAGCCTGCCATATTAAGAGAGAACTGAGTTTGTTCAGTTTTGAAAAAAGAAGTCATTGGGGAGACCTTGTCACCATGTTTCAGTATTGAAAGGGTGTCTGCAAAGAAGATGGAGAATCCCTTTTTACAAGGAGTTACATGGAAAAGACAGGGGTAATGGTAAAAGTTACTCCTGGGGAGATTTGGTTTGGACAGAAGAGGAAAATTTTTTGCAATGAGAAAAATCAGCCATCAGAATAATTTCCCCAGGGAAGTGGTGGATTCCCCAACATTGTACACTTAAGATTTGGCTGGACGGGGTGTTGGGCTGTATTGTGTACTGTGCTTTGCCAAGAAAGTTTGGACCAGATGATCCTTGACGTCCCTTTCAACCTGGTATTCTATGATAATAGGAACGTGGTTTTAATACTGTTTGTAGACATAGAATGTTATGATATATGCCCTGCTTAAAAAAAAATAATAATTGAAGCACATCATACTAATTCCAGAAATGGAGAAGGTATGGGAAACTTTGAGTTCTATTCAGAAAAGCAGTTTGAAACTTGAAAAAAAAAATCCTATTGATTTTGACTTTCTTCTGACTTTATTGTGGTGATATCTTAGTGCTAATAGATGGCATCCTTTTGGATGATCTATGTCTAGCTGCATGTAGTAGAAATATGGTTAAATTTCATGAGCTGCAGAAACTAATTTAAGTTCTTAATTTCAGAGCCTAGGCTCCAGGAAGTAAAGTTCTTAAAACACTGCATTCGATGATAAAATAAACTACAGGATGTTGTAATTTACCTATCTTTAGTATTAGCAAAAAAATGTGTTTTTAAAAAAAGCGAATACATTGTTCCTGAAACTTTTAAGTAGCATTGATAAACATTGTTTGGCCATTTCAGTTTTCCCTCTCAAAGGACTGATAATGTCACTTTCTGTTTCAATTTGTCTTTAAAATACTTTGTGATCTATCATTGTAAGAGATGATAAATAAGTGTACAATTCCTTGATATAACACTGTTTTGTGTGTTTATTGACATAAATCTTCCTCTAAAAAGATGAAACAGTGAACTCTGATGTTCTGCAATACAAACTGAAGTCCTTACAGGCTAATACACAATATACTGTCTATATCACGGCAAGCAATGCAGCTGGTGGAACCAGTGGAGAGCCAAAAACCTTCAAGACTTTGAAATTCAGTAAGTAGTATTCCAGGTTAGTTATTAGTATTTTAAGAACAAGTTTGGAAGTAAGAAATATAGGACATTTTTATTTAGGTATTTGTTAATTTATTTTTTTTTAATTAGTGTTAAACAAAACAAGGAAGAATTAACAACACTGTCTGAATTTAACTCGATTTCACTGAGCATCTTACAGACTAAAACCTCAAGATTAGAAGTCAAAATCTTTATTTTGCTGTCAATAAAGATGTCGACTATTTGTGGGAGCAAGAGTTTGTATGCTGTCAATTATGTGATGAGGTGCCTAACAGTTTATTAAAAAGCAGACATTTCTATCTGAGATGCTAGATTTAGAATAGCCATGCATTGTGTTGCATGTCTTCTGCTATATAAACTTATTTACTAAATGAGTGCACAGGTTGTGGCCAGCGTGTGAATATCTTTTCCTGTTTCTTAGTATTTGTTTTAGCCACATTTTACGAAGGAGGTTGGTACGATGGCTGCAGGCTATAGAAGTTTACTTCTCGTTTCTACTTCTGGAAGAATGTTTTCAATACATGTATAAATTGTAGTGGTGGCCAAAGTGAAATATAAAAAAGTATATAAATATATATATATATAAAGTGCATGAGCTATCCTTAAACTTGCAATGGGACTCAAAGCTAACTTATTTTTTGCCTGTAAATTCATCTGCTACTTTGCTACTCAAATGCAAGGTAAGTTAGTCTACACTGAGGTCTAGTCTCTATTGCTGTCAGTGCCTACCTGTGGTAGGTACTTGGAAGGTAGCTCAGAAATCTGTGCACTGTTTCAGTCAGAGTAACTGTATTTTTTTCTGTATTTAAAATATATCTCCTGCATTGAATTTATTGTTTATTTTGTAGTAACAGGTAGAAGCGGCATTATATGGCAGTTTTAGGTGACTGAAACAACAGATACCCAGAGAGGTGGTAGACTCTTCATCTTAGGTGACCTTCAAAGGTTGGCTTGGTATGACCCTAAGCAACCTGACTCTAATTTCAAAGTTGGAGGAGATGACCTACAGATGTCCCCTCCAATCTGAATTATTGTGTGATTCTAATAAATAAAGGAAAATTTAAAATGCAATGCATGTGTTCCTAAGATATCCTGAGAAGTCTCGTCATGAGCTGCTCAGTAACTGTGACTTGTTGGATTCAAAATACTCATCTTTTGACATGTCATACAATGCGTACCATACAGTATTCTGAGTAATTTTGGCTAGTTTTGACAGAACTCTTTAGAATTGTGCTAATTAGGTGACTTGGATGTTAAAATTTAGCTGTCTTAAGGGAATACATGAAGAAATTATAAACATCTGTGGGTTTTTTTTTCCCCTCTTCTAAAGATAAAGAAGATGTTATTTTCATTGCTCTACCCGTTGGATTAAGCATGTTTTTTCTGCTAGGCCTTTGGATAACATGCATTTTGAAAAAACACACGTGAGTACGTTTTCTACCTTCTGAAATGGAGTGAAAACAGTTTCAACTTGTGAAAGGAAAATTTTTATGTATCTTATAAATGCTTCTGTTAGGTTCCAAACGAGTGTCAAATTAAGAAAATAAGCAATTGGAGTAGCAAATAATTAAGCATACAGGTTATGTTGTAACTGCAGTTAACATGCTGTAGTCCAAAAATAAATATTAGTTTTGGAAAGTGCAGTAAATCAGAACAAAAGAAACAGTTTTACATATCATCTAAATTGTTTATGGAAAACGCTGTATGCCATTTTCAGTTCTATGCTCAGTCAAGTGAGGGGAGCTTACTTTAAGTCAGTTACTGAAAAGTTAGTAATGCCAAAAATAAAGTTTCCCAGGCACTCTTACTATGTCTGCTAGTACACCACTAGAACACATTTCAGATAACCCCTATTGCTTATCTTGGCTATGTTAATATTAGTTTTATTAGTTCATGACACTTCCCTTGAGGTGTAAAGAAGTAATGAAGAAACTAGAAGTTACATCATGTGAAAGCATTTCGATGCTTGATCCATGAGTATGGATCCATATCTATACATAATTTATAATCCTTTCATCTGCCATCACGAATGTCCCCTGCCAGATCTTAAATTGCTTCCTCAGAGCGTGGGGATGCTATAACATCTCAGAGATGACTGTGAGGACTTTTTAAAGATTATAAAATGTGCTTTAGTTTAGCATGAAAAGTAGCTGGGTTGTTCAGCTGAAGCTTAATAAGAAGGTTAAAAATCTGAACTCTTTTGGGGTGTTCTAAGGTATTAGAACCAAGATTTTTCTCATGCAAAGCATCAAGTAATAAGTATAGCTGAAGTAGTAAGTATAATTTCTGACTGTCTTACATCTTCATCTGTGTTGTGTATTCTGAGTTTTTACAATAGTAGGAACCTATGTTTTGATTCTAGAGACTACTTTGAGAGGTAGTTGAGTGTTTATATTTTTGTGTAGATCAAATTGCAGTGTGAAAAGTCAAGCTATGGCCTGGTTTGCATTCACTTAGATATATGCCCAGTATCAATGAGTGATTCATTTTGTTTCCTATTTACTACTCCATTGGACTAGCATTTACAAGCTGCAGTGTCAGTTAGCACCATTTATCTGCTGCTAACTTAAGAATTCAGTGTAGCTCTATTGTGGTGTACTGCTAGGAACACTTTCCTAGAGCAAAGTTTACCTGAAGTGGCTTTTCACTGAAGAACCACCCTGAAACACAATCATGACAGGTTATTTTGGCATGCTATTATTCGATGTACTATATAATTAAAAAACTTACTTTTGTGCATTAGCAATTTTTCTGCAATGTGTCTATAACCCAAGGTTTTTACTTGTTGAGGTCTTTTGTAAAAAAAATTAACATAAGGGAAAACAATTTTAATGAAAAACATTATGTTAATACAAGAAAGACTTTCCTTGTGGAAGTTGGACATTTCAGCAGTATTTGGGCTTTCTGGAGGTCTGTTCATTTCATTTTTAATAATCTATTTCTTTCATCATTTGACTAAAATTCCTTTATTAATGATAGGTTTAAAAAGGTTTGCTGGCCTGATATACCAAATCCTGCGGAGAGCATTGCAGTGGAATGGCCTCTTGATGCATCTCTGGTAATAAATGCAATTTTATGTATTAAAGAAGGGGTCAAATAGAGACAATAGAAGTCCTTCTCTGACAGTCATTTTATGACTAAATAAAAAAAAACTGTTAAGTGTCATTTTTCTGTGCTACAAAATGCTCTTCATTGTATTTCAAACTAATAGAAAAGATGCATATGGAGTTGATCAGGTTTACATAGAAAGTCTAATCTGTCGAGAATGAGATTTTAACTTTTGTCTGAATAATGGCTGGTTAGAGTGGAAAAGGTGGAAACAGTCTGAACCCGATTCTGAGCCTTCATTTAAACTCCTTATTTTATTAAGCACAGAAAACCTAATATGAAAGTGTTTAACAAATGAACAGAATAGCATTGTCATTTTTAGTGCTCATTCACATATAGCTGCATCCCAGATGAAAGGCACATGAACTCTTTATTAATGGACTTTGAAAATTAAGAGTCAAACAAAACTCAAATGCCAATTTTTTATATATTAAAAAAGTAAACTAATACATTATCTATCCCTGTATAACTTTCCATTTTATCTCTTTGTACTAACAGAATAATTCATTTTTGAAGGAAGTGACATCTGAGGCTAAAACCGTAGATGAAGATGTAAGTGTTTTGGAACATTGTTTTTCTGAAGAAAGTCAGGAAGGATCACTAATGAATTCTGAAAACCATGTTTCTGAATGTACTGATATTAATACAAAAGACATGATTAATGGAGATAAAAAGATACTGTATAATGAAGAAAATGAAGTTGCTAAATACTTTTCACCATCCATGCCTTACGTCATTACTGATCAAGATATCGGGAGTCAAATGCATTCAGCTTTGATACCAGCAAAGGAAATCCAGCCCATAGAAATGGAAGATGGTTTATGTGAATCCCAGCATATTTCAATTAAAAATGAAGAAAATTGTAATGAAGAAGTTTTAAAGCTGGGAGATTTCAGTGAAAAAGTGCTGTTCAATCCATACCTTAAAAATTCTGTTAAAACAAGGGAATTTCTTATTTCTGAGAACTTGCCAGAACACAGTACGAATGAACCCAAAAGCCAGTCTACTGTCTTACCTCCTTTTCAACAAAATGTTGCCGGACAATCCTACATAACACTGGACATGTTTGGGCTGGCCACAGCTCATTAGCGTGAGAAAACTTTCCTTTGTGAAGTCCCCTTGTGAGACCTCTCCCAGCACTGCTGCTCACATGTATTCGTATGTTCTAACCTGGCTGATCTCAGTAATTTGGGTGAAAACACTCCCTTCCTTTCAACAGCTGTGAAATAATTTTTTACACTGTGTTTTTCCTGTCAGGATTCACTTGCAGTGTGGGGTGAGGTGGGGTGCTTTTTTTTTGTTTGGTTTTGGTTTTTTACCAGATAGATGTGCCAGTAGTGAGGCAAAGGAAGTAGCTTTTCCTGCTTGTTCTTAGTTCTCCCATATCGGTCTGTTATAAGAAACTGGTCACCGATTTCCCCCCGCGCAGCCAGTTCCCGTGGCTGAGCTCTGCTGGGGAAACATGGGCTGACTTGAACAGAGCCAGGATCTCCTAAATCCTTCCTGAAGTTACATGGAGTAGAGCTACTTTCCTGTTGTTATTTCCCTCCATTGTTTTATATCTTGTTTTTATGTATAGCGTTCCTCCTGTTTCACAAATACTTGGTAGATTTCAGTAATTGTCTTTTTGCAGCCTGACTCGTGAATTGGTGGTTTGGCTCATAGTTTCTCTGTCTTTAATGAGAGGATATTTGTTATGTATATGCTATGGACTTATCTGCATTTTGGAAAAGACAGGGTTATGCTGGCTTTGCTGCTTCCTTCGCTTTCTCTTGTGTTTGTAATCGTCCTCTGCATTTTGTGCTGCTTTTGTCTCTCCTGTTTGTTTGTTGCCTTTTAAAACTCTCTTTACCGTGAGCTATCTTATTTTCTTCTTGTTCCTTTGCCTCTAATTTATCCCAGTTTAAAACTGTGTTTCCTAGTTGACGTTTTGATACTTTGAACTGAAAAAAAAAATCAGCTAAATGGAGCATCTTGTGTTGGAGTAAGCACTGAGTATGTATTTAGGAAATAATTTTTCTGGGAGGTATTGAAAAAACACTAAGTCTACAAAATATCCCCAGATATCCTCTAATTTAGGATTAGAGATTTCTACATGAAGGCTGTAACTTTTTTCATTTGTTTTATGATTTTAGTAAGTCATAAAACTACTTGTAGTTTCCATTTATATAGCAGCAATTAAGCAGGAAACTCTCCATTACACTAGTTTTTTGGGGTTTGTTTAGTTTTGTTTTGTTTTTTAGTCAGGAAAGAGGCTGTTACTGTAAAATTTTTATCAAAATATTTACTCTGTTAAGTGATAGATTAAAAAAAAGAGATGGAGAGTCAACTCTAAGGAAAATGTGTTAAAAGGGGATGTTCGGTATGACGTGTGTGGCATATAGTAATTTTAAGACTTTAAACCATTTTCACAGTATTTAAAGGCTTGACATTATCAGTCTTGTTTGCGCATAACTACAGACTTCTTTAGGAGTGAAACAGATACAGGAGTCATGGGGATAGAAAAAGGAGAGACAAATGTGAATAGGAATAGAAAACTTTTCCTTTCTGTGCAGGAAGAGAAGTTGAAGAATGGAAAATACATTGTCCAGCATGAATGAGGAGGCTGAGCCTTACCCTGGATGTATTGGCTATTACTTGCATTGTGTTGGGGAAGACAGGGTAAAGTTTGCATTTAGGACTTTAATCTATAGTCTGGAAGGTGCTTTGACTTACAGCAATGTTTGTTTAGTTTCCAAGAAAGGATGAGAAAACAATTTCTGCAAATGTTCCTTGGACATCAACAAGGGTTGGGTCAATGTTCCTGCTGCTTCACTTGCTTCCAAACTGCTGTCTCACAGCTACATTGCCATATCCTAGGGTTCAGAATTCACTGACTCAATCACAGCAGGTGGGTTTTTTTTTCCCCCTTAAATCTCAGTATTTGTTGTAATATCATAAGATTTAAAAGTAAACAGGTACAGAAATATTTTGAGGACTGTCCAGGAATTGTTTAGCAGCCGTGTGCAAGCTGCATAGTGTGAGTTGCATGATTGAGTCAGGTGAAAAATAAAAACAAGATAATCTTTAAGGGATCATTAGAAAGGGAACGTTCTTGCTGGGCAGTTTGGGTAGGGTCTACCTGTGACACCTCTTAGCTTCTAGAGAGTAAGTAATAACCTGATTTTCCATCCCATTTTATTTCCTTCTCTATTGCTATTCTGCTTTTCTCTCCTCAGCTCTGTTTTCCTTGCCCATTGTTTTATATGAAAAAGAGTAATGCAGTAGGTGGGCTCAGTACATTGGCAGAAATTAGGGCTGCGTTTTGCCCGTGCTTTGGAATGCCAGCTTCTTGGACTTGGTTTGATTTGCATTCAGAGTTGTTCTCTTTCTGAACTTTTACAATTTGTCTTTCAAACTAATGCTGTGAACCATGAAAAAAATAAAACTGAGAGCACATTGAAAAGTTTTTTATTGATTTATACTAAATACACCATTTAGATATTTTAAATTTTCATATTCATTTAGAAATGTGATCCTACTTTGAGAGAGATCCACAAATAGATTGGATATTTGGGAAGTTATTCCACTTCTGTAATGACAAGTGGCAATGGAATGTTGGATGTTACAATGCTTTAACATTTTTGGTACATTTTTTAATAGAACACATGATTATCTTATTCCTAGAGAGTGATTTTCATGCAATCATAGAATGGTTAGGGTTGGAAGGGACCTCAAAGATCATCTAGTTCCAACGCCCCTGCCATGGGCAGGGAAACCCTCCACTACACCAGGTTGCTCAAAGCCTCATCCAACCTGGCCTTGAACACTTCCACGGATGGGGCATCCACAGCTTCTCTAGGCAACCTGTTGCAGTGTTTAACCACCCTCAATGTAAAAAATTTCTTCCTTATATCTGATTGAAATCTGCCCTCTTTCAGTTTAAATCCATTACCCCTTATCCTGTCACTACACACCCTTGTAAAAAGTCCCTCTCCAGCTTTCCTGTAGGCTGCTTCAGGTGCTGGAAGGCTGCAATAAGATCACCCTGGAGCCTCCTCTTTCTCCAGGCTGAACGGCCCCAACTCTCTCAGCCTGTCTTCATAGGAGAGGTGCTCCAGCCCTCGGATCATCTTCGTGGCCCTCCTCTGGACCCGCTCCAGCAGCTCCATGTCCTTCTTGTGTTGGGGGCTCCAGAGCTGAACACAGTATTCCAGGTAGGGGTCTCACGAGAGCTGAGTAGAGGGGCAGAATCACCTCCCTCGACCTGCTGGCCACACTCCTTTTGATGTAGCCCAGGACACGGTTGGCTTTCTGGGCTGCAAGCACACATTGCTGGCTCATGTTGAGCTTCTCATCAGCCAACACCCCCAAGTCCTTCTCGGCAGGGGTGTTCTCAATCCGTTCTCCACCCAGCCTGTACTTGTGCTTGGGATTGCCCCGACCCACGTGCAGGACCTTGCACTTGGCCTTGTTGAACTTCATGAGGTTGTCACAGGCCCACCTCTCCGGCCTGTCAAGGTCCCTCTGGATGGCATCCCTTCCCTCCAGCGTGTCCACAACACCACACAGATTGGTGTCAGTAAACTTGCTGAGGGTGCATTCGATCCCACTCTCCATGTCACCAACAAAGATGTTAAATAGCACTGGCCCCAGTACTGACCCCTGAGGAACACCACTCGTCCCTGGCCTCCATTTGGATATTGAACCATTGACATCAACTCTTGGAGTGTGACCATCCAGCCAACTCCTTATCCACCGAGTGGTCCATCCATCAAATCCCTGTCTCTCCAGTTTAGAGACAAGGATGTTGTGTGGGACAGTGTCAGATGGTTTGAACAATTCCAGGTAGACAATGTCGGTTGTTCTTCCCCTATCCATCAATGCTGTAACCTCATCACAGAAGGCCACCAAATCAGTCAGGCAGGATTTGCCCTTAGTGAAGCCATGTTGGCTGTCACCAATCACCTCCTCATTCTCCATGTGCCTTAGCGTAGTCACCAGGAGGTTCTGCTCCATGATCTTGCCGGGCACAGAGGTGAGACTGACTGGCCTGTAGTTCCCTGGGTCTTCATTTTTTTCCCTTTTTAAAGATGGAGGCTATGTTTCCCCTTTTCCAGTCGGTAAGAACTTCACCAGACTGCCACGACTTCTCAAATATGATGGATAGCAGCTTAGCAACTTCATCCCTAGATCTCTTCTTATCACTGACATACCTATAGAAGCTTTTCTTGTTGCCCTTGATGTCCCTGGCCAGATTTAACTCTATCAGTGCTTTAACTTTCCTAACCTGATCCCTGCCTTCTCGGACAATTTCTTTATATTCTTCCCAGGCTACCTGTTCTTGCTTCTGCCCTCTGTTGGCCTCCTTTTGTGTCTGAGTTTGTCCAGGAGCTCCTTGTTCATGCTGGTGTTCCTACTTGACTTCCTCTTTGTTGGGATGCACCACTCCTGAGCTTGGAGGAGGTGATCCTTAAATATTAACCGGCTTTCTTGGGCCCCTCTTCCCTCCAGGGCTTCATCCCATTGTACTCTACCAAGGAGATCCCTGAACAGGCTAAAGTCTGCTCTCCTGAAATCCAGGGTAGTGAACTTGCTGAGCGCCCTCTTTGCCTCCCTAAGAATCTTGAACTCCACCATTTCATTGTCACTGCAGCCAAGGCTGCTCTTGAGCTTCAGATTCCGCACCAGCCCCTCCTTGTTGGTGAAAACAAGGTCCAGCAAAGCACCTCTTCTTTTTGGTTCTTCTAACACTTGGAGAAGGAAATTATCATCAATGCATTCCAGGAACCTCCTGGATTGCCTGTGCCCTGCTGTGTTGTCCCTCCGTTTTCCTAGATTTCATTTCTTTTCACTATCACTGATCTGAAAAATGCCCATTTCTACCACTCCTTAAAGTGCAGAAAATCACTCTCTCAGGTGTATAGGTCTTGGCAAGGTTAATAGAGACCAGCTTGTGGCATAATTTCAAGAAGATATTGATGCATCTTCACAGTTGTTATTCTTCTGTATATCATACAAATAATTCCTTTGAGACCTTAAGGCTTATGCCTTGCAAATTATTAATAGCTCATGTTTTTCACTTACCAGATTTTCAGCTAAACTAAATG